TCGAATCCCACCAGGCTCAAGGTTGACTCAGCCTTCCACCCTTCCAAGGTGGGTAAAATGAGGACCCAGATTGTTAGGGGCAAGAGGCCGACTCTGTAAACCACTTAGAGAGGGCTGTAAAGCACTGTAAAGTGGTATATAAATCTAAGTGCTATTCCTGTTGCCTGAACATTTAATAAACATTAAATCTGGTTAATATGATTACAAATACATTACATTTATTTAGAACTAGAATAGCATAGAATAACAGAATTGTAAGGAACCTTGGAGGTCTTCTAGTCCAACCCCCTGCTTAAGCAAGAAACCCTACACCACTTCAGACAAATGGCTATCCAACTTCTTTTTAAAAACATCCAGTGTTGGAGCATTCACAACGTCTGGAGGCATGTTGTTCCTTTTTCTGCTACTATCTTGAAATTAATTATTCTTGGGTTGCAACTTTTGGAAACTTGCAAGGAAGGTACAAAGAGGTTTGGGGAATGGGGAAGAAACGTGCACCTTAAGCTGAATTGTACATGTTCTGTTATTCTCCACAAATTTGTAATTATTCTCTGGAATTTCATGCAGGAGTCTCTCCCGGCAATCCAGATAGTCCTCAACATATGACCATAATTAAGACCAAAATATATGTTGCCAAAGGAGACATTTGTTAAGTGAGTTTCACCCCATTTTATGACTCATTGTAAGTTGAGGCCTATCTGTACTTGAGGTGAAGAACTTTTGCATGAAAAACTGGACAAGAGAAATGTTCTCAGCAGAATTTCCCACATCAAAACCAAGAACTGTAGAAAAAAAGTTGCATTAAAAAAAAATCATTTGTCATTAAAATACTACAATAAAATGGTCATTGTGATTGGAAGTGAAGGCCATCTACCAAAGTGGCTGGAACTACAAGCTTAGGAAGATGTCTTTCAAGATACATTCCATGAAATAATAATAACCACAAATAAAATAAAATTAGAATTCAAGCATTCTACTTTGTTTGGTGAATTCTCTTCCTCTTTAATCAGCTTTGTCACTACATGGTTACATTTTTTTAAAAAAAATATCTCATAGATGTAATTAGGTAATACATTCAGTTCTCATCCAAGTTCTCATCATCTTAAGAACTTAACAGAAACTACATTGTGCCTTGTTCAAGAAAGAAAGTTCTCTTTCAATTTATATAAATTTCAGAACAAAAAACAAAAAGAAGTTAGAATACAGTATACACTGTTCAAAGAAAAGCTTACCAATTGGGACTTTATACTACATGAAAACTCTTTAATGGCCTAATATTGCCCATACATATTTTTTTTGGGGGGGGGGTTACAATCCTTTAGCAAAATAAAATTCAGTATCTATCAGTAGCTATTACATCATATCAAAGAGTTGTTTTTTTTCCCCACTGAGAAGTTTGCAGAGAACGTAGATTTGACATTCTGACTTCTTCATTTTACCTCTTTAACAAAGACATGATTTAAACAAGTGACACAAGGGAGAGGGGGGGGGGAAGTATCCATTTTAAATGCATGAGCTATAAATCAAATTACCTTCAGCTCTGTCCTAGCTTAATGTTCTTCCTCCAACTGTCACTTTTTCTTAAAATCAATTTCAGATGTGCTCCATTCTTCTAATTGATAGCAACACCCAGTCATGATAAGCATAACATGAAATAGTTTCAGTAATGAAAAGCAGTAGAGGATTGAAATGTGTGTGTGTCTGTGTGCGTGCAAGATCCTAAGATAGATAGATAGATAGATAGATAGATAGATAGATAGATAGATAGATAGATAGATAGAT